AAAGCAGATGCAGAGATACACAGCCAAACCCCAGGTGGAGCTCCAGGAGTCCAACCGGTGAGAGAGAGGAGGGATTATATGAGCAAGAGATATCGAGACCATGATTGGAAAAAGCACAGATACAAATAGCCAAACTAGCGGAAACACATAAACTGTGAACCAATAGCTAAGGAGCCCCCATGGAACTGGACCAGGCCCTCAAGATAAGTGAGACAGTTGATGAGCTTAAACTGTTTAGGAGGCCTCCAGGCAGTGGGACTCGGACCTGTCCTTGGTGCATGAGCTGGCTTTTTGGAACCTAGGGCCTATGCTGAGATACTTCACTCAGCCTTGTTGTAGGGTGGAAGGACTAGACCTGCCTCAACAGAATCTACCAGGCTGAGCTGAATCCCCAAGGGTGACCTTGCCTTGGAGGAGGTAGGAATGGAGAGTGGATTGGAAGGAAGGCTGGAGGGTGGGAGGAGGGAGGACAGGGGAATCTGTGGCTGATATGTAAAATTAAATTAATTATAAAATAAAAATATTTATTAAAAAAGGAGAACATTGTAACACCAAACATTATTCACCTATGATTTCCCATATAATCAGCTTTTACAAAATGAGATAATGCATAGTTCTAACCTTATTTTGTGTGATCTTCATGCACCTGAAGGAAGACTAATTCACATGTGTTTATATGTGTGTTATGATATTTGCTTAAAACACAAATTTAGGTTTCAATAAATTTTATAAAGTATCCAGAATAGTTAGAAATATTATACAGATATTGTTTGAATAAGAAAAGATGTTTGTAGCACTATTTTTTATTTGAGTGAGTGAGCTTGAATAAGTTGTCAATCTCTAGTAAAACTCTGTTAAAGATTTCTGTCTAATATCCTTAATTCTTTTCTGATGTGATGCATTCCGTGCTGTTCAATAAATACAGAGTAAAAAAAAAAAAAAAAAAAAAAAAAAAAGATTTGATTTTGGATTTATTGTTGTGTTTGTTTCTTAAGTTGGTTTTATGTGTATAAGTGTTTTGCCTAAATGTGTGTTTGGCATGACATTTATGTGCAGTACCTGTGAAGACCAGAAGAGGAAGTGAACTTTGGGTCATTGTGTGTTTGGTGCGGAGAACAAACCCTCGTCCTTTGTAAGAACAGCAAGTGCTCTTAACCACTAAACCACCCTTCTAGCCTTTGAATTTGGATTTTAAACATATTACAGACTTTTAACTTTTGTCTTCCTTTCTTGCAGTTTAGTTTGTCTTTGGAATATTTCCTTTGTTTAGTTTTATTGATATTATATTTTAAATAGTATTAGATATTGATTCAGCACTGAAATATGATGCACCAAAGGAAAATTTATATATTTTAATAAATACTACATAAATAATTCTTTTTTCATGTGTGTGTGTGTGTGTGTGTGTGTGTGTGTGTGTGTGTGTGTGTTACAAGTGTGTGCATGTGAAGGCCTGAGGTTCATGTCAGGAATTCTAATCTCTGTTCTGCTTCATGCATTATGATAAGGTGTCTCAACCAAACTCAGAGCTCACAAATATGACTAGTTTTGCTGATTACTGTGCTCTAGGAATCCCCATCTCTCCATTTCTGAGGCTTAAATTACAGACAGGACACCATGCCCACCAGCATTTATATATGGTTCTTCATGCTTGCATGGGAAGTACTTTAACTGCTGAGCCATTCCCCAAGCTCCTTAATGCATATTTAAAGTCAAAATATATGGAGCTTCAAAATGAACTTAGCAATTAGTAAAACTTTTAAGGATGTCTAAATAATTTTATCAGCCTGAAGAGATAGCAGTCAGTAAAGCCCTTATTGTGCAACTGTGAAGACCTGAGTTCAATCTGTAGAACTAATGTTAAAAAGCTAAGCATAGTGACACATGCTTATAACACCAATAGTGGGGAAGCAGGCACATGCAGGTCCTTGAGACTTGTTGGCCACCTGCCCTAGACTAATCAGTGAGAACTAGGCCAGTAAGAGAAACTGTCACAAAGCACATGTGGACAAAACCTGAGGAATAACATCCAAGTTTGTCCTCTCACCCTGTACATATAAGTGCATACACATGAACCTATACACATATGGCATGCACATATGTATAAATACACTGAAAAAATTCGAAAAACACTTTATCTCACATGTGTTTACAAAGTGCTGTAGAGTTCTGGAGAAATAACCCAAAAGAAATTTAAAATATTTTGACATGAACTCAGGCTGATTTCTGGCAAGTGAATTCATTTATATGACTCTATGCATTACTCCATTTGTATCCCTCCTGTTCTCTCCAATAACTGTCCTTTATCAATAATGGATACCAAACCCTCTCTACCATATCTATCCCTCTTTTGTAAAAGACCTACCTCTTCCCAGAATACCCTCCCTGCTCATACACAATCCTTAAACCACTCTTGACAGCTACATCCTCCCCAAGCCAACACACAAGCCAGGAAGACAATCCCAGCCAGCATACCAGGTATTAAAAGGTTTTAGGACTCAGCTGTTGCCTCTTGGCTCATTTTCTTCTTTCACTACTGAAAACAAAGACTACTGTTGAAAGTTACACATTTATTTTAACCTCCTAACACACAGCTAGCTTTTCCCCTAAGTTAATGGCTTGGGATGATTATAATAGCTGCTTGTAAAAGATAGTAAAGAGGTTCTTTTACTGAAACCAAACTCACCTTGAGTGGAAAGCACAGAGAGATAATTGCTCAGAGGAATTGTACACTGAAGAAGAACGGTTCACAGCATCTGAACTTGATAAATGATAGTGAAATGCCACTAGGGAATTACTCTTTAACTCTTGTGAGCTCAAGAGTTAAGAAAGAAAAAAGCTTGACAGAGGTTTATTTTTCAATTTTTGGTCATCTCAACAATTTTTAATTTTTTATTGCTATTATGTTGATGAAATTACAGCATAACTTAATATTCCATTTTGTGCCAGATATTTTATCAAATAGCTTGGTTGAAAACCATTGCTGGAAAAGAGTTTGAAATTATATATTATATCTAAATTACATATTAGAGTGGTGAATTATTTATTTAACACTGAAATAAGTTCAATATGAACCATTTATACACCATATAGGGCTATAAATTACAGTGCTTCAAATAATCACTTGTTAATTATGAGTGCTATGCTGAAGTGAAACAAAACTATCTGCTTTGTTTATCATAACCTTTCCTAAATTATCTCAGAATGACTGGAAGAATAATGGCTAAGCTTCATGGGTTAGAATTAAATGTCAGGTTATATGTTGGTAATTGTTAAAGTTATAAGGGCAGTAGTACAAAATCAATATTAATATCCAGTAGACCAGGCTAATAGCAACATATATTTATTGATACAGGCTACTAGGAACTCCTTGTGGATGTAAAGACTCATAAAAATTGAAAATTCACATTTGCAGTCAGGCATAGTGGCACATGACTATCATTCCAACATGAGGGAAGTTGAAGTAAGAAAATCAGGAGCTTAAAGCAGGTATTGACTACATGCAACTTTGTCTCAAAAATGAATTATAAAATTTAAAAAGAAAAAAATGATGTTACCTTATAACAGTATTCCTCCCCAAATTGCTATCCATTCCTATTTTTGTCAGATAGTACCTTGACAGGATGATATAAGTGAGAGTGTCAGAATCTGTACATTAGTAAACAAAGTATGTACTAGAAATGCTAGAACAAAACCAAAATAAAATAAAATATAAAGATATTAAATTCTGTGTGGTACTAGACATCCACTTACAGTATTTTGGAAAGACCATATACAGGTGTACAGAAGACTGAGATACCCTAAGTTCTACTCAACATCTTTGCTAGGCAACATCCTTCCAATCTCTCCCCTATAAACAATGATCTTGGGTTAAACATCTGTGGTAGGATTGAAAAAAGCTCAGTGGGACTGCTGGCATATAGCTTTGGTACAGGTACAATATAGAACACACCTGAACCAGCTTTAAGACTTCAAAGTAGAGCTGTTCTGTAGTTTGGTATGCATGCATTATGCTGACCACTCTGTGGATTAAAGGTACTCCTGAAAAAATAACAAGACTTGGGCAATTAGCTCAATAGAAATAAGGTAAATACTGGAGAATATGGATTTGGAAGTCAGACATCAGCTATAGCTGTAGCAATAACCCTTTTAGTAGTGACTGATAGTAAAAAATAAATGAACAAAAGAAAACAATCAAACAAACTTGACACAATATAGAGTTTACCAGACCTAAGAGTTAACTGGAAGGAAGATGAAAACAATCTGTTCTTGGGTTCAGTTTTTTTCAAGGAAGATTTCTAAAGGATGTGTCTAGATTATTAAAACAAAATCATAAAATTCTCAAGTCCCTCAATGATAGACCATAATATGAAAAAACAACTCCATTAACACAATCTGATGGTCTTTAGCATTCTTGGTCCTCTAGATTACCACTGGTATACTGTATTTGATGTGCAACTACTGCAAGAGCACATTAACACCTAGTAAATTAACAACAATTTGTGTTTCCTCCTATGTTGTAAGCCATGACTTGTGTGAACAAGGCACTTTCCCATTATGAAAGTTAATTAGAAGTAACGGAAGATACAGAAAGAACAAATTTGATTGCATTTTTGTGAAGCAAAGGGGATATGACTTAGTAAAGATATAGCAGTAACTTTTTTGTGACATAGTAAAAGTGAGAAATGACATACTAATATACCATGAAAGTTAGAAAGCCTGTGTTAATGGACTAACTTAACAGAATATGTGTGAAAGTGTCAGGATCTAGTCCTGAGTGGAAATCACAACTAAGTTGCTGCTACATATTACAAACATCCAAGCCCAAATACCTCATTTTCACTGCAACATTAGGTAGTGTCTAAGCAGTGTACTGACAGCAAAGATGTCAGAATTGTATCAGTCATTCAATAGCTACTTCAGTTTTATAATAAAATTTGACTGCAGTCTCAGATAATCAGTTTGGGACAATTTCCATTTATTTGTTTTAATCCTTGTTATTATGGTCTCCAAGGGTGAGGTTTAGGAGACACTTGATGTTTCAGTTTGGGAAAATCTTCAGAATTGTCCACATGTGAAGAATGTGGGGTGGATTTTGCATGATGAAGAACATTTCTTTTCCTAAAACTCTTAGGTGTTTTTGCAGCTATGGAGCCAGAATCACCACGCTTAACATGCTCCAGTGGAGGTTCATTCTTTCCAACAGATAGGAAATGTTTCTCAAGAGCCAAGATATAGTCAATTGCATCTTGTACATTACAGGATGATCCACTCACAATGATGCTAGAATTAGTACAGATTCCTTTTGAAGGTACACGGATGTCTACTTGGAATTTTTCCATGATTCTATGGATGGATTGTCCACCAAATCCAATAATATTGGAACAAACCTGATGGTTCAGTGGGATTTCTCTGGAAACTGTTTTTTCAATCTTACGGAGCAGTTTCATTATTGCATCTCGAGCTCTTAGGATGTTGTCTTTAGAACCCGAAATGGTAATTTGATCTTGCATTGGATTTCTTATTTTATTTGAAAAATGAACAGTGACATTATATTCTGTGCAAATCTGGGAAATAAGTATACCTTTATTACCAAAGATCTTGGAATGATATTTGGGATCTAAACTGAATGTTTGCCTAAAATTTCTTAATGTCTGGTTTTCTATTTCCATTTGTAAAGCTTTTACTTGTTTTTGCAATTTCATCTTGGCTTGTTCTACATTTGCTTCAAGGCCCATAATAGATATGATATGAAAATTTCCTCCGGGTTGTGATACCTGAACATGAACTCCAAATTCCTTTATTAGCTTGCGTAACCCACTTCCTTTGTGCCCAATGATATATGGATGTAGGTGAAAAGGTACTTGGACTTTAGCGGTGACAGGAACAAAAGACTCCACAGCTTGGGTGGCTGCCCTGCTATTTTCTGCTTTGTCCGAAAGAGACATGGTGTCACTTTTGTTTGGAGAAGTCGAAGCAGATACTTTAGTGATATTTTCTCCTTTTTCTTTCCCATTTTCCTGAACTTCTAGATGTGTGTTTGTAGTTGGTTTTTCTGAGTCTGGAAATTTGATTTGAACCTTACAATCTCTTGCAATTTGTTGAATTCTAGAGCATATTGGTCCCATGATAAAAGGATGGAATTTGGGGGGAATAACACACCGTGTTGTGACTTCGGAACGCAAGGGATCAAATATCTCCTGAATATGTTTCTTTGCTGCTTCAACACAAGCTTTTGCTCCTTTTATTGTGACTTTTGTACTCTGTTTTCCTGCATATGAAAAGGTAATAAACACACCACCATATTCCTTAATTATTTCTCGTAAAAGCTGCCCCCTTTGCATGATAAAGTAATTGTGGAATTTGGGATTTATCAGTATGCTATCCTCCACCACATTCTCCAGATCTTTCAGTAAAACCTCTACCTCTTTTTGCACATCTTTAACAGCCTCTTCTGTCCCTATGATGGTTACTGACTCTTGATCCTTGTTCTTAAAGGTAGGGAAAATGATGCGTGCCCCTGTCTTTTCACAGATTTTATGAAGATTTCCACCATTTTCACTCATAAGAAAATGGTGATATTTTGACTTTACAGGGACAGCCACGGAGTAACTCTTGGCTTGCTCGTCTTCTGCAAGTTGTAGAAGTTTCTTCCTAGTCCTTTCAACATTTTTTGCAGGGCCTCTAATGATGACATTTTGAAGGCCCAATTTGCTACTTGGAAAATGAATATAGACTTTGCCACATTCTTCCATGATTGAACTAATCAAAGACTCTTTAGAATCAGATAGGGATTTGTGTAGACTAGGAGGAACAGAAATTTCCACTTCAGAAACTTTGGCTATGTTTTTATGCATCGAGAGAATCCAGTTATGAGTTAGTTCACGGTTTTCTGGCTTTCTAACAATGATATTATTCTCTGAGTTGTAACTTGATGATGTAAAGTTAACCCTTCCTCTTGAATTTAGATTGGTAGCATCGTTTTCCCTTTGCAAAGACCTATTTGGATACAGAATGTATTGTCTTTTGGAAGTCATTGTTGATTTTGAAGTATATGCAATCCAGATGATTTGCAGATTATTCAGCAGCAGCCCCAAGACTAAAAAACTGCTTGTAGTTGTCTTTTAGCATATTACTGTGTGAGAAGAATAAACACTTTAAAGGCAATTTGCTTCAAAAATAATCCATAGGGTAGACAATAAAATAATTAATTCATTTTCCTGAGAATATATTAGAGTTTCATCGATTTACCTATCCTTATATGAGCACAAGGTAAATTCAAATTATACGGACTGTATGGAAATAAACACAACATTTTCAAAAGAAAGTTCATCATTTTAAGTAATCTTATGACATTCATAAACAACCCTTATTCTTCCAAACCCAGAATCATTGTTTTTCACCAGTACCAGCTGTTGTTTCCTAATTATTATTGCAAAAATATGCTTATCTAAGTCTCTAAAGATACTGCATTTAACAGTGCTTGCTATTTTCAGTAAGAATTTTAAAAATATATATCTTAGAATAGCAAGGAGCTGTCTGAGTCATCAAATAAAAAGACATGGAACCATTATGGGGACTAAATTGGAAAGGTGATATTGGGGAAAATGGGAGGAGATAAGAGTATAACAAGGAGAGAATAAAATAAAATAATTTTTACATTTTTGAAAAATTACCATGAAACCCATAATGTATAATTAGTATATACTGATAAAAGTATATTCCATGTGTTTAATTTATGGGATTTTAATAAATTTAGAGTTTACAAAAAATATCTTAACTGCAGAAGGTTCCCATCACTTACATGGGTCCCCCATGCTCATTTATAAAATGATCTGCACAAAAACCTCAGTTACTTGTTTGAGTACTGTTTTGAGATCCACATTTGTTGAGATATAATGTATATTCTTCTTTTAATTCTAAAAAACACCCCATTTCTGTTTAGAGCACCTTAAAGATTGTTTTGACTGACATTCTTTCCTGGGTCCACCTCCTCTAGTAGAAGTCTACATATTAAGTTATTAATGCATACTTCTTTGAACTCATTCTATCCATAGTATTCTTTCCCTATGTAATACAATTTAGACTCATAACTTGGAATACCACCGAAATAGCCACTAATCACTCCTCAAACATACAATGCTATCTCCTAGCTTCAGTGTTTATATATTCATAAGCCACCTCAGTATCATCAAATGAATACCTCATAGTCCTTTGAAACTTATTCCATATGTTTATCTATTAATATCCAGATTTTATTGTTTGAACTGTATTTGATTTTTGTTTGTTTGTTTTTTCAAGACAGGATTTCTCTGTATAACAACTCTGGCTGCCCTGGAACTCGCTTTTTAGACGAGGCTTGCCTCAAACTCACAGATATCCACCTGCTTCTGCCTCCTGAGTGCTTGGATTAATGGCATGCACCTCCACAGCCTAGATTGAACTGTACTGGAATTTTATAAATACATACTGATTTTCCTAAAGCTTGCCAAGTATTTAATGCCATTTTAATTTCATTCCTGCATTTCTATCATGGTATTAATAAGTACTGACTGAAATGCTATACCTCCTCTCTCGCATTTTTTTCTAACTTACCATGCTGTTGTTAAACTAGTCCATCTCTTGCTTGGTCCTTGTCTCATGTACTTGTCTTTTGGGCACCAAACACATATACACTCCTATATAAACTTTCTTTTTCTACTTAACATCTCCTTTTTTTACTTCTAAGGTAGTAACATCTACACTTTCTCTTTCATTTCTTTATAGAAACTTGTTTTTATATTCATGTGTCTAAAGAAATATCTAAGTTATTCTTATTATATAGCTATTTAATCAGAAACAAATTGTAAAATATTATTCTTAACTGACTTTTTGTATACTTTTATCACTTATTACATATAATTCCTAAATAGGTGTATGCACTTACACTTATCTTAAGTTTTATACATAGCAAAATGATAAAATAGCAGAATATTGACCATTTACTAAGTGCTTCTATATCAACTATATCAGAAATGAATATAGGTATAAAGATAGATAATTTCCTACATGAACAGTGTATTTACATCATTCCCTCTTTTCTCCACTCCATCTAACCTCATGCCTTCCACTTCCTCTCAAATTCATGATCTCTTAATTCTTATTGTTACACATACAAACACACAGACACATGCACACATATACACAAGCACACATACACATAAACACATAGCTCATTAATCATTGCTCATATATGTATGCATTTAGGGCTGCACTACAGCATATAGTTGAAAGTCAACTATTCTTTCATCTTTCAAATCATATTTAAATCTTAATTGCAACATCACCTTCTAACAGAGCTCATCACTGGATGGATTAACTGCATAAGCTTTCTGTTTGATATTTTGCTCTTTTCTCTATCATCCATTTTATTATTTTTAAGTGACAATTCTACTCTATCATTGACTCCTATTGTCATCTTCCCCTGCCAAACATCTTTATGTCAAACATGTTGTCTGTCCATTGTGTACTTGCATTGCCTAGTAGGACTTGTGTCATATTCTAGGTGTTAAAACCTCCCTTTTTTTGGATAACATTAAAATGATAATCAAAAGATCAATGGAAAAAACTTACAAGATAATATGTTGAATACAAAATGGTACTGAAAATCAATCAGAATACGTATAGTCAGAAAATAAATGCTAGATGTGAAAGAGATAAATGTGCATATTGAATTAAGGACAAATAAATCATTTTTTTAATTTTGAGAAAAGTATAAGTATCTATGACATTATTCTACTCCTGATACAAGCAAGTAATAAAGGTTTTAACAAAATTAAGTGTTGACTAGCACAATTCTTAGTCTCAGTTACTGTGGATTTATATTGATGCTAATTGACACTAGTTTGGAAATTTTACTAATCAGTGAACCAATCCTTATTAAGAATGGACTGGAATGAGCAAGTAAGGGATTCAGCTAATGTAAATGTCAAGTGGCAGAATCAGATTTTAAATCACTTGATAAATATATAACAAATTTCTAAACCCTTTACCTGAGTGTTTAAAAATACTGTTTGTAATTCAGGTGATTAAATGCAAAGCCTTGTGGACACTGGCCTGCAATAGCCCTAGACCTTAGTGGTAAATATCACTAAGCCAATATGCTAGACCTTAGTGCCAAATTTCTAAGAAGAGAAATACATGTCTAATTGTATCAAGAAACATTCATCTAGATGCTCATGCTAAAAATATTCTTACAATAAAAAATACTTCAAAATGCTATATTCATCTTTTCACTGAATATGTGATAATAAAAGATAAATTAACATGCCAATATAAGGAGGTATCAATAATCAAAAATATTGAGTAAAAGGATTTATAATTTTATAGCGTGGTATTTCTACTTATAGTGAAAATCACATTTAAAAATTAAACAAGATTACACATTGTTAATAGTTGGTGTATATATTTATACACAGATGTAGTAAAACTATATTTGTAGAAGGAAATATTAAATGAATGTGTTTGAGATTAGAAAAGTATGTGATTTATTCAATACATTAGTTTATAAAAATATTGTTGAAATTTTCATGATAAAACTATAAAGAAGCAAATACAAACAGATTAAATGACTGTGGTTCATGTATTTTAGTGTATATAACTACACACACACACATACACACACACACACACACACACACATGCATACATGTGCAAGATAATCAAACTATTGAATACATATAATTTTATAGCAGAATGTCATCTCTACTAATAGTTAAAATTACATTTAACTGCTAATCTGTGTCACACATTGTCAATATGTGGTGTTTGTGTTTTGTACACAAATATGTGTACTTGTATATGTATATTAATATATATAATAATAAGACTTACCCAATTATAGATGATTTTCTTACAAATTTTCTAACCTGCATCAAGTCTCCTTTGTAAATGTTTTTTGAGACTCTGTATACAAGAAGAAAGACTTAGGTAAACTTCATGTCACACAGACTAACACAAACTTATTCTTAATTTTAAATTCCTTTTTTTCTCTTATTGAAAATAGTTTTATTTCATACAATATATCCTGATTATAGTTTCCCCTCACTCTACTCCTCCTAATTCCTTCTCACCTTCCCTCTCATAAGAGCATTTTATCATGTGGTATGTGTCTGTTATTGTTGTTTATATTAAAATTTATTCACTTAAAAATTATGTGTATGGGTGAATTGTCAATATGTGTGTCAGTGGGCCATGTGCATGTAGTCCCCATAGAGGTAAAAAGAGGGTGTTGGGTACTTAATCTGAAATTACAGATGGTTCTTAGCTACCATGTTAACTGAACCCAAGTTTTCTGCAAGAGGAACCAGTGCTCTTAACCACAGAGCTGTCTCTCCAACCCAAATGATTGTACTTCATAGAAGAGTTTCCAGACACCAGTAGAAATGAGCATCCTTTCTTTGTCCCTCATATAAGCATATGATCCTATTTTTCCCCAAATGTTCTGTGTAGAAGATTTTACATGCTAACTGTCTTTAAGAAAACTATTTATCTGGATTATGATTTAGACCTTTCCTATGTTAATTTGCAGTAAAAAATATTGCTTAATCTGTGACTGTCTTATTTGAATCTATTAGGTCATATGTACAAAATATATTGTACAGTTTCTTGCACATAAATTTTTTGAAGCATCTCCTAACTGATGTGCAGCTGAATGGTATTTCATTTACCCAGACGTCATTATTTCCCATGTTTGATCCCAAATATGACTAAAATTAACATTGCAAAGCCCCCTTCTCCATCAGAAACCAGGCCAGCACCCAGATCCCAAGGTAAGACCCACCCTCCTAGACCACCAACACTCCCCCAGAACCCACCCAGCCAAACCCCAATAGTCCTTCCTTTCCTCATCACCCTATCCCACCTGGGTTCACTTTGAGTAGAAACTCCATGCTCCCCCAGAGGCCACACCAACAACCAGATCCCCAAAGGGCATACAAGCACCCTGAACCCCAGAGGACTCAGGCAAGAAAACCAGAGAGGAAACAAAAACCAAGGA